GCCCCCACCCCACCTCTCCCTGCTTTCAGAGCACGCTTGGCAGCTCTAAGCACTGCTGCGGATGTGGAGCCTGCCACTGAGAGGTTCTAGTGAGACGGGAACAGAAGACACCAACCCCGGGGGAGTGAGTGAGAAGCGTCAGCCAGTCAAAACAGACTCACAGATGACCTCTTGAGTATGGGGTGCCCAATCTTGCAGTTCATGACCAGGACCGAAGCCGCTGGCTTAGGGTCATCACACTGAATGTTTGGAGAAGGCGGCTGTTAACACAAAAGACATTGTTTTTTTACAGGCAAAAAAAAGAAGCCATTTCCTTATGCCAGTTCAGGCCAGACACCCTGTTGGGAGCTGGGGACACAAATCAGACCTTGTCCTTGTCTTCCTCACAAGCTGGGCAGAAGGGCTCAGTACCAGATGGCTGAGGAATTTAAATGCAAGGCCTAAGGAGGGGTTCTGTGAGAGCGGTACAGAGACAAGCAGCAGAGAAAGACAAAATCCAGCCAGCAGGAATTTTGGTCTTCGTCGGGGTGGAGATGTTTGAACTGGGCCTCATACCAGCGCCAACGTCATGGACTGAGACGGGCCAGGCACTGCCCTGCAGCCTTCGTCCGCCATGGTCCCTCATCTGGACCACTGAATACAGAAAGTGGTTCGAGTGACTGCATTTCCCTAATTCTCCCCAAGGACTGTACATCCAATTCCATCCTAGATGCTTAGGGATCACAGCGTTCTTTTCATAGGATGAATGCCTTCCTAGGCCGGATAGCCTCAGGCCGCCAGGGACAAACCCATAGTTCGACAAAGCCAAGTTTGTTGACTCATTACAATGAGGGGAAGGCACTGTGGTCCATCGCACCAAACAAAGGCAAAGACAGTAAAGGATTCTGGGGAGAGGTGGAGTTCAGGGGAAATGCAAACAAAGCAGGAGACTCAAGACAAAGCAGGGCTGTGTCAAAGTGCCACTCAGCATGAGGTCTGGACTGCAAGATGGGCCCTGGGACCCATTTCCTTGGGAAATGTTAAGGTGAATGTGAAAAGTTATGTCCAGAAACGCTTTATCTGAAGTTCCAAGCCTCAGATGGAAAATGAGGCTGTTTCTTTGTCCAAGTGGCTTAGATTCTCCAGGCGAGAGTAAGATGATTTCATAATTACAGATATAACTTCAAACAGCAAAGTTGCTGGCTGCCTGTGGAAGAAAATTTCTCGGTGCTACAGTACTTTACAGCTGCAGGTGTCCTTGGGAGAAATACCACTTCCTAGCATCGGGCAGCTGGCTTTGAGTCTGTGCTCCCGGGCTGATGAAAGGCTGGGCAGACTTCTACTTTCCAGCCCAAGCTAATTTATTAGAGATGATTTCTCTCCCAGAACCCTAGTTAAGAAAGGCTGCAAGCAAAAGGAGTGTTTGGGCAGCAGATAGCACCACTGAATGTTTTTAAGGCTCAGAAT